CTCTTTTTGTTTATTTAAATTGAAGTGCAACTAGCTAGAGTCATCCTCAGTGATGGAATTTTCTTTTTTTGCTGCTTGGCATTCTCAGTTCTCAGTGACTCTCAAGTGCTCTATCACAGAAGTAGCAAGAGAGAGCTATAGCTCTGAAAAGTACCTGCTCAAGTGGAAAATGTGCTTATTAATCAGGAAGGAAATAGGCTGGAATGAGAAATACTTGCAAGATAGTGTTTTAAAATGATGGTATTGCCATACATGACAGTCTATTTTTCAGCAAGGAGATATGTTCTTTTTAGCAAAATCAGAATTTTCCAATACTGTCTTTTAGACCCTGAGCACATCCTATCTTTTCTGCATGAAAGGTTTATCCAGTTCAGGGCTCATCCTCTGTCAGACAAGAATTCCACTTACTACACTCAACATGAGAAGTTTTGGGGTTTTTTCCTCTCCACCTCTCCCTGTTTTGTGACAACCACAACACAGCAATCTTTTAGTTCAGTGCTTGCTTCTCAAGATTACCTGTAGTGGTTTTAAATCAAAAGATTTCTTCTGAAAAGAACCCACATTTTTTCAGATTCTTACATTTCAGACTATAAATGAGCATAAGCTTTCACATACCTGTTTCCAGATAAGTTTTAACGGAATGAGACTGTGAAAAGGATAAGCCTATGACACAGAGTAAACTTTAAATACATTACCAGTCTTGGTTATATTATGGAAGAGATTTTCTGATTTTCCTTTAGACATGTTGAACTCGTGCAATTTAGTTCCATTGGTCAAGACCATGCAATGTACTATCTTGCTAACAGTTTGGCTTTTTATAGTTTGACAAGGAACAAATAGTTTACACTTGTCAGTTTATGAGCAATAAGCTCTAGGTACAGACCTGTAATGTAACTGTGGGGTGACTGCTACAGATACTATTGCCACACAACAAACAAATTGGGACTTTGCACCCACAATATCATAAATGAGCTGTAACTACAGTAACTGGCAGGTGCTAAAGAGGACATCTGTGAAGATGTGAGTAGTATTCACTGAATGAGCAGGAAATAACTTCCTCATTCCTTGAACAAGTGAAGGCTACAAAGACAAATTCAGGTTATGTTTGTAAATGTTCCAAGTCTGAGAAACTACAAGCATGCACATGTAGGGGAAAAAAAAAATAGAAAGAATGTTGACCTGAATCAGCATATCCCTTATTGATAAGGATTTATTATGAATACAATATATTCCACAACTTCCTCAATTTACTCATTTTAAGTTTGTCTGTATTAAAATAATTCAGAGAGCTTCAACCAGACTTGAAAGATACAAATACTTGGCACAAATGCTCTGAATCTGATGGAATATCCAGGTTTCCATTTCATTCTTGTTTTCCTCTTCTGTTCCGCTTTTTGTCCCACTTTTTCTCTGCTCTCTATGAATTGTACCCTCTACTTCCAAAATCTTCTTTCCCATTTCTTTTCCATTTCTGTTTTTACCTTTCCTATGAGGTCAGAAACCATTTCACTGTCTCATTACAGGAAGACCTTGTTCTGCATTTCCTTATGAGAAGGAAAGATTAACTGCTCTTTTGATACTAATCTTTCCAACACACTTGGCAGTAAATATGTTCTAGGTCACTCAGCAGGTCTGTGTTTGAACTGTGAAATGACTTGATGCAATATTCCAGTATTCCATAAATTCTAAGGAATATTGTGTTTTAGCTGTCTAAGCCTTGGAGTCCTTCTGTGATTAAGTGCAAGAATTTAATGCAGCACAAGTCTATTTAAAATAAAACATTATTTTTTATATGCCACTACTAAAGGTGAAGTTGCTACAGGAAAGACCTGAAACCTTGGTTCCTGCCTCATTAGTCTGTTCATTCACTGGAGACATTCAAAACCCACCTGGATGAGTTCCTGTGTGATGTACTCTAGGTGACCCTGCTCTGGCAGGGGGGTTGGACTAGATGATCTCTCGAGGTCCCTTCCAGCCCCTAAGATTCTATGATTCTATGATTATTTGGAAAACTAATTTTATTATGAACCATATCTGCAAAACTTACAGCTCAGAGAAAGGGGAAAAGGATGGAATCTTGTTCTAACACCTTCATTTACAGCCAAATGTACCCAGTGACTGATGTGTGAAGCACAAAGCTAATGGAGGAGGCATGTACATTTGAGATAAGACAAAGATTATTAATTGGCACATATAATTTCCTTTACTTCTGCTGTAGAATGAGGTAAAAAGTCAGCACTGTGGATTTCTGACTACTATGCAGTCTTGCCATCCACAATCCTAGTGTCCTCACTGTGGTTAAACTGGTACGCTGGGGGCGAGGGGCAGGGAAGGGGCTTGTTTATTTTTATACAGATTAGTTTCAATCCTTATTTTAAATATTTACTTTTGTTGTTTCAAATTGTTATTACTCAGATGTAAATATGTACATTTTTCTGGTTTTCCAAAGACCTAAACACTGGAAAACCAGACCACAGTATCTCAATTTGTTCTCAAATATTAAAGCATTCCAAAATGCTTTAGAACTTGGCCACTGTTGGTTTAGTTACTTCATTGGGAAGAGCCAGGATGATGTCTTAAATATTAAACGTATAACAATCTCCTATTGACATCTGTGGGAATGTTCCCATTGATTTCAGTCAATACAAGATACAGGAAGAGGACTTACGATACAATTTTAAACAGGAAAAAGTAAAAAGTTACAGAAATATTCTAAACATCAGGTTTGGATAATGCACACATAAAATTAAGGAAATTGCTCCTCTCTGCTTCTTTTCCAGTCACTTTTAGACTCTGGCTCTTACAAAACAAACTAGTGTGTCAGTTCACTTGACGCTCCAGAGAATAGACAAAAAAAAGCAGTTTACAGACTTATCACAAAACTTAACTGATGGTTACTGACCTCTTTCTTGGCAAAGATAACAGTACTGTTATGCATGATAGAGCTGTTAGTGGTCAATAACATATCTTTTGGCAAGTCTTAATGAACTCAGAGAAAAGAGAATTCCACAGTGGGCTGGGCCTACAGTAACTCCACTGGGGTTAATAGGTCCAGGAATGGAGCAATTCACAGCCAAGTTTGATCTAGTCTTTACACATCCAATACTACTTAAAATACTAAAAGGTGCAGTAAATTCTTCTTTTTCTTTCAAAACAAAGATACTTTTAGAGACATCTGAGGTGTATCCTGTTTCTTTGCTAAACAGGTCAGTACTGTAGTCCAGCTTCAAAACTATGAAGCCTTTTTCAAGAAAATGCAAATAATCTCTCACAAACTCCTAGCAACACTGTCCTCCCTTTTCAGACTTCACTGGCTTTCCTTATCTCTAAAGTAAGTGTTCTATAAGAGAGTATGCTGGAAGAAATCTAGAGTTGCAGTTTTCCTTAAACTTAAAGACTTTTCTGCAGTAATGGTTTAAGTAGAAGATGAACAGCAAGCAGTGTTAGAGGCCTGACCCTGAAGAAGGTCATGTTTTCTTGATACAGTGTATCTAAAAAAAGGTTTATAATTGCAGGGAAGAATTCATAGTTAAACAAAAATATATTTTCAATCACAATTCTGTATTGTCTCCAATAACAGGGAAGGACAGATATTTTCACAATTCAGCTTGAGACTCTCCAATTATAGTATTTCAAACAAGCAGACAATATCCCACAGGTATACAGAGTTCCAGAAATGTGTTACTTCCATGCCTATGACCAACTGTCTGACTGTAAAAATTGTAATTATGCATTTGTTGATATTCTGATTAGATTCTGCATGGCTATTACTTTTAATTTTCTCATACATTTGTTCTATAGTTAAAAAGCTGCAGCTCTCCTTCCTGTAAACAACCTGCAAAGCAAACACAGAAAGCAACTACCCTGGGACTGTTTGCTTTGTGCTGTTTGCTATTCTGCCGCTCCCAGCGGGGCACACAGCATCTTAACACTCACATAAAAGTGGTTTCAGAACAAATCAGAAAAATGTATGCAGGCACATAGAAACCAGTAGCCACCGTTCAAGGAGTCTTTCCCCTCAATTCTCCTTCAGCAAAATCATTAAAAAAACATTTACTAAAAGCATCTAAAAATCAGCTGAATAAATGTGATTGTGAGTTACTGGAGCAGATGCATATTAGGTCATGGGAAGAGTCCCACACTGCCTATATCAAAGTTTCAGAAACAGAACAGTATCAAGTTATATTTTCAAAAGCAAAAGAAGGTTTTAAACAAGTATTTCCTCTTTACAGTATAGTTCCTCTCTGTTTTGTAGTGATGTTAGAATCTTTTGTTAGAAACATTACAAGTGCTTTGATGACAACTTCCCTTTTGTAGACTGAGCAGTACCATGTCAGTGCCAGCCAGAGGAGTACAGAGCTAAGTGCTGCTGCTGAGCTTTCAAAAATTCAAAAATTATACTCAGAGAAGCAGAGAACTTGGATTAATTTTACACCAATATGAATGTACTATATCTTTGCATCTACAGATTCTCTTTCAAAAGCTCAACTGGAAAATAAATGTAATTGCATCTGAGAAGTTTTAGCGCTGTACTTGATCAAACCTAGTGCAGTAGAACTAAACCCTTCATGGTTGGAGCTCATCCAGAAAATTGTTCTAGTACAGAACAGCTGCCATACACTAGGACTCCTCATACCAATGTTCTGTTGCAAAAATATTTCAGCATTCATCTTCATACTAAAAATCAAGCTACACACTTTTCCAGATTTATTTATTACAGGATTATGTGAATTTCAAAATCCCATGCTTTTGAATGCATAAGTGGAAATATATTCAGAAAAGTAGAAAAAAAAAAAGGTGATTTTGTCAAAACATTTTAAGTGTCTTGAGAACTAATATACCCTAAAGGAATATAATGCCTTCTAGCTACGTATTATTGAAGAGTAAAACACTTTTTCCAATCCTTCCCTACCTCACATTAGTTCTATGAAATGCCAACAGGAAAACAAAAATAATGCTTATGTTTTGAAGTAATTTAAAAAGAATGAGATTTCACTTACCTAATTCTTTAGAAACTGGAGAATCAGCTGATATATCTCCAATCTTTGCAAGGCTATCATAATATGCTCTTCCAGCCACTACCATAGCTTGAGGAGGTAGCAAGGAGGAAAAGGGGGGAAAAAGCATTAAAAAAAAAATCAGAAATAATAAAATAAATAAATAAAATCACTGTATTTTCCATTTTCTCGAATCTATGATCCTATGAAATTCTGCAAGCCAGAGCACATCCTAAGAGAGGGAGGGTTGTATAGCAATAAGGAAATCCCACTATCAGAAAAAGTTACTGAAGTCCCTGAGCTGCCTGCTAATTTGTGAAACCAGGTGACAAAGACAGACCAGAATATATGAATGACATTTCAGCCTGTTAATTTAGTTCCAACTTTCATGCATATCCAGGAGCAACAAGTGCCTAGTGAGTAGGTTTAGCCATAAGCCATTGGTCAGGATATAACTAAATTCCTTGGTCTAGATACAACTGTTGGAAAAAAGCAAGACGGAATCCCAAAGTTACTAGAAGTGCCAGGGCCTCTCCCCTGTATTGGCCAGCCAGACCATGGAGCCAAGGAATGGCTACTGGCCATAAAGCAATGGACCTATAGTTGCAACAAGGAGACATGGAGCCCTTGAAAAGCAAATCATAATTTAGCATTTAAGTTAGCTGAAATAATAACTTACTTCTAAAAAGCAGTTCACCAAGTGTGATATATTTAAAGAGAAGTGAAATGTGAAAGGTTTGATACATCTGATACAGCTACTCCTAAACATGACCATTATGGATAACACTGTACAGCCATCATATAGTGCAGTGACAAATATTATTTCTTGTCAAAACAATATATTGAAATCTGAAGACCCTACTCAAAAACACCAACTCTTCCACTTTGAGGAAATACTAGGCCTAAATGATAAAACTTAAAAAATTAAGTCTCTGAAATACGATGTTCAGGTTATGGAAATAACCTACGTGACATTCTTTTCTCAATTTTCAACATACCATCAATGTTCCTGAGATTATTATAGTTATCTTGTTCAGCAACGTAGTGAGCTTAAATGTTGGAAGATCTCTGGTTTCTTGGACAGACATGGACAATTAGTATATACATTTCCTGCACAGGAATGTGTGTCTTTGTCACTGAACTCAACATGGCAAAGAAAACTGTATTTGAAGGATTTTAAACAATAAAAACTTGAGGCAAAAGGAGCATATAAAATTTAACTTGAAGCCAGAAGGTTTAGCACTCCCAATGAAAAAGACAAACTCTAGTTAACACTTGGATGCGCATCTTTTCCAACCTCGGGCCCCCTGAAGAGTTCCCCCCCTTTTATTGTTTATAGTTCAGTTCTAGTTTTAAAGGAACCAATAAGCTCTTTATAAACATCTATATATATCACTGAGGCTTCAGTTATTCTCAGTTAATCATTTCCTGGTTATAGCTGATTTAAACAGCAAAGCCAATTTTGCTGGAATGAACACGGAAACATCAAGATTCAAATGTCAGGGAGGCCAGTAGTGAGAAACATTCTACATATGGAGCAGATCTGCACCATGCTGTGGTTGCCTTGTACCTCCACAGTATCTAGAACTGATCTGCACAACACAAAGAAAAGAAACAACAGGAAAATGCCACAGTTTTACTGTAAAAGGCAGTGAAAAATACTTGTTGAAGTAGTACATTTTTAACCTAAAGTAGAAGTCAAGTGGACTCTCACTGTTGGCTTTAGAATAGGTTCTTTTTTTTTGAGAGGAATATAACTGGCAATTGCCAACGATAGTATTTTAGGTCTCTATTTTACCATTTTTACTAGCAAAGGTGACCTCTTTGGTTACCTAACAGTATGTTCACTGAGAAGCCTGAAACTCTTCCAAATAAAACAAAGATTCTTCTTGAGGCTCTGTATTAGACAAGAGTAATTTCTAAGATGCATCTTGTAGGTGCTCTATTTGAAAACTTTCAGAACAGAAGAATTATACTGGTGCTACTGATGGGGCACCTGCATGTGAAGATTTTATGCCATTCCAACTCTTCCTATCTACTGTTCTCTGAAGATAGCCCTAAGTCAATCTTCTATCCTCATACAGGCCCTAAAGAAGGAAGAAAATGTGTGATTTCTCCTGTGTTAATGAAGCTAAGTCAGGAACTCCACTTGTACAGTTTCTTCACCAGCAATATGGCTGGTAAACTACTTCTGCAGAAAAGGAGTTTTGACCTTTTATCCTCAAAATGTATAAAAATACATTAGAAGCGTATCAGAAGTTCTTGTAAGTTCTCTGTTCCATATCAGCCTACTGACTTGTTTGGAAAGCTGCAAAGTATTTGTTTAGCAACAGAGTATTTATTCCTTGCTACAGATCTATTTATACCACTCAGAACTTAGGAGAAAATATTAACAATTTATGAGAGCCCAAAGATTACATTAAGTACTCTCTCAACAGTTGTTGCAGCACTGTAAACATTCATTTGAAATTAACTACTCATGCTAGATATGCTGTATCAGGCAGTCTTAAAAGGCAAACTTCCTAGAACACAATAGCTATCAGGCTTTGCAGTGTTGCTGTGCACAGTTATGTTGTGAATTACTGACGACAAATTGAATTAAAAGGGGCAAAATGTAACATATCAACAGTAAAGTATATGAAAATCAGAATCCTCAGGAACTAGTATAAAAAAATCTTTCAGCCAAACATAAAAATAACTTGTTATTACTTCTGGTACTACATATAATCCCTAAGGTTATGTATTAGGTAGCTATGATGTTAATCCATCAGGTTAGGCATTACTGCAAGTAAGTCAGCATTTCCCTGTTTTCATCTCCAGCAGGCTTTGGTTTGGTCTTGTTCTCAAGCCTGGTCTAAAATTTGCATTAAGAGATGCTTCATTGTCTATTTGGCTGTGCACTACTTCTGCAGTATCACATTTCTCAGAGTACTAGATTACATGTAAGAGGAAAGATGTGCCACAGACTTGAATGAAGCAAAATTAGAGAGATTTTACATTGCTTTAATATGGTATCAAGTAGCCCAACAGGTCTGCATAAGGCAAATGAAGCAAGCCCTAACAGGTCCTGCAATGTAAGTTTTGGGAGTCTAGAGCCCAGTCTTGGAAACCCATTCTTAGCTTGTTTCTGTGAAGTCAATAATGGAAGTAAACAACCACATTACAAAAAGTTTCAGAGACTGGGTCCTCAGATTCAAATATATTCATTCAGATTTTGTCTCTATTAAAAAGTTCAGTATGGATAAGAAAAAAAATCAATCCACTCCAGCAACTCTTATGCATTCCAGTTCTGTACACAAGGTTGCTTAGGTAGTGATGTGCACAGGTGAGCTGGAACAGATCTAAGAATGTGAAATATCTTTGGAACATATTTCCAGGGGGAAAAAAGAGAACATTAATTTACATAACTGTTTATTTCAATTTCTGTTATTACTCTAAAACAAGTTATTTATACTTGATGTTCAGCGTATTTTGCAGTAGGTCTGTGCTAAACTGTTTGGGATGCAACTTCTGCAGGACAGGAAAATAAAAAGGGGAAAAGGTATATATGTTTGGGTGTTCGTGATTTTCTGCTTGCTTTCTTCTTCCTAATTAAACACATCCAAAGTTCAACTTGGAAATTAAGCTTATGCACAATCTTCATATCAGATATGTATATTTAAATGCAAATGTAACATTCTTTCTCTAGTTAGCACCTAGAAGACTTACCATTAACAGCTTTTTCATAATTCTTCCCCAGATTTATTAAATTCCTCAGTCCTGGATTGAACTGTTCCATAACATTCTAGAACAGAAAAAATACCTGTGTTATAACCAAGGCAATTCAACAGTTGATGAAACTATTTATCTCAGTGTCACTTAGGTGTAGTTTTATGTTTCATATATACAGTGTACACCTGGAAAGTCTGGATGGATGAAAAATAGAAGGCTTATGAGGAAGAGGACAGCAAAAGATGGAAGAGATCAGAAACCGAGCGTTTAAGATCAACAAATGGGGAAAAATAAAAGGTAAACTATTTCAATAGGGGTAAATAGGAATCTGGCTGTTTATAATATAAAAGGATGTCAAGTATGTGATCAAAGTTTGCCCAGATCCTTCTTTGATGGTAGGTGATCGTGAAATAAGAGCAAGAGAAAAACCTTTATCCACTCATCTGCTCAAGGGAAGTTGTGGATGCCCCCTCCCTGGAAGTGTTCAAGGGCAGGTTGGATGGGACTTTGAGCAACCTGGTCTAGTGGACTAGTGGAAGGTATCCCTGCCCATGGAAGGAGGAGTGGAACTAATGATCTTAAAGGTCCCTTCCAACCCAAGCCATTCTGTAATTCTATTAATTGTTTTACAGAGACAGACAATGACACAAACTTTCTGATAATGGTTCAAGGTTTGACTTCTTCATCCCCACTGCATGCAGCAAAAAAAATAGTGCTGGTCTGTACCATTAAACTCTTACCCCTCTGCAACACGATCACTGCAAGCACAGTACCTATTGTCCCCAGGCCCTTGATTTGTGTTAACTCACAAACCACATCCAGAAATCATTTGGGAAAATCTGTTTCAGGTTGGGCCAACAATGCTAAAGGCTATTCTAACAACTTAACAGTATGGATTTTCAAGTTCTAGTGTCTGGGAACATCCCTCCTCCCACTCCAACTCTTTAATATTGCTGCTGTGCCAGTGTTGCCCTCCCTGTAGCTATGACAGTGCAACTGTGAGGCTTTTGTTCCAAGTAATCTTTTCCTATTCCAAATTTTTGCCATTTATTCCCAGCTATGTAGTAAAGATGATGGCTGTTGGCATAGATGGAGTCAGTGAATTATATGAAAAAAGGTGCATGTGATACAGACACCACTCGTATGAATAGCAGGTAGGAATCCCAATGCTACCTTGAATTACGACCTTATACTGAACAAATTTTCTTGAAAGACATACCCTGTCCCTGCTCACCCTGCTCCTTGCAACAAGAACTCCTTACCACCACATATCCAACAATTTCAATGGTAACATGATAATCATAGGTCTTGAAATACTGATTTTTTTAAATTACTGTCTTAAGGATTATGGGGTTAAGTTCAGGTTCCAGTTCTTCTGATGTCTTCTACTTCAGATTTCAAATAGAAAACAGTGATTGCACCCATGTCATTAGCTGTTTTCATTTAGGAGGAAGTGAACAAAACCCAGAAAAAATGCCCTCAGCAGTTCCATCCCTGAAGCCAGACCCCACAGCTCCTTATTTTCTTCAGCTGGGATCTTCATGTATAGCAGATACAGACCATGCTGTGGAAACACAACAGGTCCACTGAATCAGAAATGCTGAGGAAGAGCTCCAGTACACCACATCTGCTCAATGTACACGTAAAACTCCTGGGAAAGATGAAGAAACAATTTACAGCTCAGTGCCTTCAGTAGCTGGAAGGCATACACCTCACGGTTCTTTTCTCCATTAGACCAAACAGTTTCTGGAAGGTTCTTGTGCTGCTACAGTGGTTGATTGTTAGCAGAAGCTTCTATGCCAGTCTCTACTCGTGAACTCCCAAGAAGCAGCAAAACCCTTTGCAATGGAAATTTCCCTTTGGAATTTGCTTGGTTTAACACAGGGTATGGTTAGCTGATCCTCACAGTACTGTGCATGGCTCATCTACTTTCCTACTAACGGTTTGTGTTCAATGGAAAGACTAAGCTTCCCCTCCTCTCCTGCTAGGTCTCCAACATGATCTCATTATTTAATTCATAGATTATTTTCTTATCTTCAGCATTAGAAATAAACATATAATACATATTTTTTTCTTTCTACTTAAGACTAGATTCTCAAAGCAAACAAAACCCTGGCCATGCTTCTAGTGTTCTTTTTATACAGTTAACTACTATTGCTGTCTTTGAAGTACAGTCTGAGAAGAAATATCTTGAACATTTTTTCAAAGAGGGAAACTGTCACTGGCAACTCCCTCTTCAGGATCGGGTATAAATTTGATATTGCCAAGACATTTCAGATCAGTAAAAATTATTGTAATATTTTGTTCAGCTTCAGAAGCTGAAGGGGAAAAAAAGCAACTCAGAAATCAATTTGAAGAGCTATTTATTTTCATATGATATCTTACAGTTTTATAGCCTCTCTTACTTGCAGTCCAAGGAAAAGGTAATGAAAATGAGGGGGACTGAACACCAGTGCAAAATCACAAGCAATACATTAAAGCCAGATCTCAAAACTTCTAAAAAAGCAGAGAAAGAAGAACAAAAAAGGACTACTGATAAAGAAAACCACTAACTTTAAACTGTCAAAAGTCTTAGAAAACATCACAATCTTGTTATCTGCCATGCTGTACAAAGCCAAGGCAATAAAGCTTTTGTCTTAATCCAAACAAGCATCACAAAGTAAGACAAAAGCTCAGAGAGACAAAGTAGTTCACAACACATCATTTGCCCATACAGTAAGGAACAAAAACTCAGCCTCCTAATTGTTAATCTAGTGTCCTATATTCTAGTGACACACTACCTCTTGTGAACAGAATAATTAACTAGAAGAGAAGAGGAGGCACATGATCAGATCCTACAGCTTTCTATTATTTAGGATGAATGGAAATAAAGGGAAACACCTTTCAAATAGGCACCCGGAAACATCTTTTTATGCAGAGAATTTTAGAGTTGGAAAAACTGACCTTCTAAGAAGAAGCATAAAAGAAACCTATTCTGGTCATTCAAGCCATTAATTCCTCGTATAATCTAGTATGAAAATTGTCATGACCCTTTCACCTCATAAAAACACCGTGAGTTAACCATCCTGGTAGCAAGGAGCTGACTGAAGAGGAACAGTACTTCCGCTTGTTGTGTATAGGTATTATATCTCCTTAGTTCCTGATAGTCTCATAAACAACGTTAATCTTCAAAACAAATGACAGCCATTGTAAAAGTGCCTTCCTGTAAACGCTCCACTTTGCTTTTTACTTAAAGACACACCTCGCAGAACAATAGCTCAGCAGGTACGAATACCACTAAACAATGCATAGGCTCCCTGTAGTTTCAACTTTACATCCTGCAGGCAGTTTTGCAAGAGTGAATAACAATGTATTTGGGTAAAAATCTGAAATTATAAAACTAGCCCAGAAAAGTAGATCTTGACAACTAACATTACTCATATAACCATCACTACAGCTACTCATAGCTAACTTTTGTATCAGGATGCCAGTGTTTTTTCAAAAAGACTAATTCTTATGACTAATTATTAGTCATCTTGATGGAACTTTTCTTGTTTAAGGCAAACATTAATACATCATCCATCAGTGTGTTTCACACACAAACTTTTTCAGGTTATGAACACATGCCCCAGGATAGACTCTAAGCAGGCAGAATGCTAAGAAACATCAAAATAGGTAATTTGCACTAAAATAGGAACAAATTCCAAAGGCTCCTCTTCCCCCCATTAGATGTATATTTCAGTAGTACAAAACAACCACTTTGCTGCAGCATGTGCTGGGATCATAGGTGAATTTTAATTTTGCTAAATAAATCTGGCAGTTTAATTTAATCGCAAGTCCTTTTAAAATGCAGAAGTGTGGAATTTCGGGCTTTAAGGTGAATTTATCAGATATATTTCCATGATCAAGCAATACAGCCTTCCAAAATAATTCTATATGCCCCTGTAGAGAACACCTGTCCCTCAGGAGAACACAGCACTCCACAGAACAAAACTGGTTGTTGTTTGTTTGTTTGTTTTTAATTACACTTTGGTTGATAATAAAATTTCTGCACAAGATTTACTTGAATACTGAGAAAGACATCTTTAAAATCCAAGATTACCAACACCAATGAAGTACAGCTATCAGGCTATTATCAAGAGCTCCAGAAACCCCAAACCACAGGAGGAATAGGCGAGCTGCCTGCCCAGTCCTTCCAGACTGAATGACAGGTCTGTAACTCTACTTTCCTGGTTTGTCCCCTTTCCCCTGCATTGTGTTTGTAGTAGCTGGATGCCAAATACTTTTTGCCCATATACAGCAGATAAAATGAAATCGCTTGAGCTGGGGGACATACCAACACAGAACAACTTTCCTGGGGTTACTGGCTGACACGGCCAGTGTGTGATGGCGTCACAGAATGTCCCCTCAGTGTGGCACACAGCTGTGCTGAGCTACAAGGGCAGGGCAATGTCATACCAGGGAACTTCTCAGCAGTTCCTTGGCAAAAGGGAGGCTCTGGCCCTCTTTAGTCATAGGCTCCCACACCCTTAGGCTTCATTTTGCACGTGCCATTCCTATCATGCATTAAAGCGATTCTTCAGGTATTACATAAAGAGTAAATGTCAGCCTTGATTTTTGTGTGCACACATGCACGTATTTGTGGATTATGTTGTTTGTTTAGTCAGGTTAGCTGAAAAATGTTGAGGTATTCACTTGCTGTTGTTGTTGCCAAAAAAAAAGGATGAAAAAGATAAAAATACAAGGGCATTACTTTGCCACCTGATGACTTCTGTAAGTATATTTTGAAGCTTTGTATAACATAGGTTACTATGTATTTAATAAATCCAGTGGATTAGCACTGTAAGAAAGAAGAAAAAAAAAAAAAAAACCAACAAGCAAGCAGACTGGTAAGGCATCCAATTTCATTTTCTATTATTTTTCCAGGTCATTCAAAAATTGATTTCTTTTTTTGGAGAAGTTGAAAGCCAGTGTTTGGTCCTGCAGCCCACAGATGCCATCACTAAGCTACACTGAGATGGTTTCCCCAGACCTAGCCTTTCTTCTTACTGGTAAGGGACAAACAAATACTGCTCCTGATTTTATCAA